ACTAGTATTATAACAAAAAAATGCGCGTCTACATACTACGATTAATTTATAAATCTTTACTAATGTAGTATCACAGACTGATTAGCTCGGGACCGACAAACTTTTGAGCATGATTATGTACTCAATTTATCATACAATGACATTCAATTTCAATAAGTCTTTTATCCCGAAACTAATTACACGGTACTTGTCAATTTCTTTTGCACCAATAAATTCAAGAAAGTATAAATGAACTGACGATTCATATTTAACGGGCTCTTATATCTGTTGGTTAGCAAATTTAAAATTAGTAAAAAGTCCAACATTTCCAGTAATTTCTTTACTGATAAGAATAAGAACTCTCCTCTTTTTTTTGGAATAACAAACAGCAAATCTTTTAAAAAAAGCATTATTCTTGGACAAAACTCATCAGCTGAAAATAATCTTTTCTATCAATAAACAAAAAGCCAACCTTAATTTATTTAAGATGAGCGAAAGATGGGTATATTTGTATACAGCTTGTCCAGGGAGGAACTGTAGTAACGAAACACCCTCTTACTGGGTTCATTCTACGGATGATTTTCGCACCAAAATATCCAACCGTGGTCGTATTAAATGTAGTGTCTGTCCAACAGTTGACTATATAAAAAATTGGGGATTTGCTTGCTCTGATCATCGTGGAGACTACCGATCAACTAGTTGCATATCATTCGGAAAAGCCTTATTTGTTGTCACCAATAATACAGAAATGGACGACGATTTCATCGATGACTTAACTCGATATTTAAGAAGAAATAGGTGGAATTATGGGTGGTAAATAGTAAAATCAAAATGATTATCTGAGTATTAATATAGTAGTGCAGGAATCTTTTATTATAATTGTTTTCCTCCCACTCAGCAATTTTTTTGTTAGATTTTTATTAATCTAACTTTTTTCTTATTAAGACGTGGTTATTTTTTATTGCCTATCAAGTTTATATGCATAATTACTCTTAGTCATGAAAACGTTGCGCAAAAAACAATATATGGTACTGTTCTCCTTGGATAAGAATAGTGCTGAATGTGTTTAAAGTTAATGTTTATTTTTCCGTATGTCATCAAAATAAAATTTCGTAAATACTATTTCTTGTTATATATTATAAGTATTTAAAATAAGCAGTTCAAAACTTATATAATATAGCCAATAAAAAGTATTGATCTGCTGCGCAATTTTTGTGCGCCTACGTAGAGTTCCGTTTCGCTTGTGAACGAAGTCACAAGGCGATACATTATTGTGAGTCACGAGACCATGCAGAAGCCATGAGAATCTTGGAATCTCAGGCGTAATTTGAAAATAAGCATATGAATGCTGTATGAAAATCAAGATTTTGTATGTATTAGTATAGTGATGTAAAATCAATTCGAGAGAAAGATTTAAGCTATTGAATAGTCTTTGTGGATCTTTGTCTCTGTTTTTCGCTGCTCGACATTCGTGTCCAGCACCCCCCCACCACACCCAAAAGGAAAAAAAAAAAAAAAAAAAGAGAGAAAAGAGAGAGAAAAAGATGGATAAAGGATAAAGGGAGATAAATCGGATAAAAGGGAACTAGGATGAAGGATTGAGTTTGAGAGTGTGTAGTGGAGAGACGGATAATGGAAAGAAGGAGAAGGAAGGTTAAGGATACGGCTCTCCACTCCACAAAAAACAAAATGCTCGTCAAGAGCTGTATATGTGACTTGCTCAGCGACCACAATCCCATATTGTATTACTAAGAAATTGTTAATAGATTGTTTGTCATGAAAGCTGTGCGTTCATCCAGAAGGAATGGATTTCATGACGAACAATAATAATGTCGATCATGTTGCAGATTCACAGAGTTTTCACAAAAAATAGTAAAATTTGGTACTTTTAAATTCAATAATAGATCTGATAATAATACGTAATGATTTTCTTTAAATTATTAATTTGTTCTCTGTTTTCAAATTTAAAATTAAATATTTTTGAATATAAAAAACAAATTAGTATTAGCATTAGCAATTAAATTTAAATATTATGATTATTAAAATATTATATTATTAACATTGCATTTTGGGCTTTAAAGAGCAAAGCAGTAATCAACTAATTATTTGAATGGAGTCTATAATAATAACGGGTAATAAATTAAGATGTTATGCGATATTTAATTATTTGAATAATCAGTCCGTCCAGTCCTTATACTGATCAGTCCGGTCTAACTTTTTAAAAGACTGCCAGTCTTTGGACCAGGACGGACCGGACGGACTGATTAACAGCCCTACTCGCGGTCATCTTAAGATATTTAAAAAAAATTGAATTGCTTTAATTGTTAATACTATTCTTAATGAATTAAGAAATTTGGAAAACAAACATAATTGTTTGTAGAAAAAATTTTACAAGTTATAATTTTTTATAAATGTATAAAGTTTTGTATCGCTATAATAATTAAAGGAATGGGCGTACAGTACGTACAAATTTGTAAAAATCTTGATTTTTGTTAAAGCGATTATGTAAAAGTCTCGATTTTGCGAAAGCAGTGCAAGCAATTCTGTGAAAATCTTGGTTTTTTATTATTAAATCGATGGATTTCATAAAATTTTCGTGAGGTCACATATAATAATTAACTTCTTTACGACTATACTATTTTATGTGTATAATATAATATGATGTGTATAGTATGCTAGTTTATATACTCAAATACGATTTTGGCAGTACTATATCATACTCTACTACTATTCGTAATACCGTTTTGGCAGTATACTCCACTACTTTACTATATCATACTCTACTACTATTCGTAATACCGCTAGTACTTATTGCAATTTACATTTTTTATTGAGTTACATTATTTATAACTATGCTTACATTTTTATTATATACGATTTCATTGCAATATTTCGATATTTGGATTATTAGATATTATAGTGAAATTAATATCGTTATCACGAATATCCAATTTTTTCAGCGTAGTGTTTTTGTAAAGTGCATCCCTTAATTCTTTTCCTCCTTCTGATCCAATTTTATTCCAAAAAAGATACAAATTAGTCAGCGTAATGTTCTTGCAAAGTGCTTCTGCTAGTGCTTTTCCTCCTTCTGATCCAAGGCTATTACCACTGAGATGCAAAGAAGAAAGCGTGTTATTCATGACTAGTGCATCTGCGAATGCTTTTCCTCCTTCTGTTCCAATATTATTCCAACCAAGATACAAAGCAGTCAGAGTAACGTTCTTGCAAAGTGCATCTCCTAATGCTTTTCCTCCTTCTTTCAAATGATAAAGTTACCGAACGAATGCTTTTTCGAACTATTTAATAATTTTCGAACTGATTATAAAAATTTATTTTCATGCCTTCTTGTA